GCTTTTGTGAGGCTGTATTATCTTTCTGCACAGGCCTCTCAGCGTCATTCCTGTTGCTGGGCAGCCCTTGAATTTCGGCAGCACACCGTGGGGTCATTTTTCTATTATTGCCTCTTGACAGCATTGCGCCCTGAGGCATTTTGAAGCTCAGGCACTTGGCCTTCCGCTCACCTCATGGAGGGCTTCCTGGGTGGTCTGCCCAGTGGTTGAGGAGTGTTGGAAACCTGCTGTTCACCAACAGCTAGCTCTTAACCAGACTTATAGTATTAAAGGCCAATAATGGCACCAAACAAGTTCTCTCAGAGCCCATAAAGAGATATCACAAGGGATGCCAAGCAAACTTACCAAAGATCGGTTCTGGCTCACAGATTCCCATCGAAGTCAGCTTACTCTATATAGTTTAAATTTTTGTCACTGTCTCTATGATGTATTTGTAATAAATAGAGCTATTTTGATATTTGTTGATATATGTTTGTCTTTACAATTACTGCATATGAAGTTACATTTATGTTGATTGCTTTACATCTACAGATGTGGAAGTAGAGTTTCAGCAATATTAGCTGAGCCATCAGGATTTATTTCTCAGCCTCACTAACAAGCATCAGCAAATAACCCTACACTGGAACAACCAATAAAAATCAGCTCTTGCATAAACATGCCCATGGTTCACGTTCTGCTTTGAGCCACTGCTGTGTGCTTCTCTGATTAGCCTTGCCTCTGCAGTCTATCCGCAAACCAGAGATCACAATGATCCTTTAAAACCGTCAGCGAGGTGGAAAGAAGGCTCAGCTGGTGAAGGCGTTGATGGTAGAAGTCTGATGTGTAGCCTTAGCTCTGTCCCTGAGGTTCAGGTTAAAACAAACAAACCAACAAATAGGAAAGTGGGTTATACATTTGTTATCATCACTCATGTTGGGATGGATCAGGAGAGTGTTTCAGAAGTTTGCCAGCCAGTCAGCCAGGGACTCAGTGCAGCATCAGGAAGGACAAGAGAGACCCGGCTCCAGAAAGTTCTCTTTTGGTCTCCATACACAGCCATGGCACCTGAGCCATATCCTCCTCCTACTCTACTGGAACATCCCACTGACCCACTGGCCTTTCTTGACCTTTATTCCTTTCTTGGCCTTTATTTCTCTGTCTGTCTGCATGTTTGCCTCTCTTACTCTGCAGCTGCAGTAGCTTCCCTACCACCCCTGGAGCATGCCCGACCTTTCTGCCGAGTTTCTTTGCTCTGGGATTTCCTCTGCTGCAGTGGTTTTCTCCAAGCCCATCTGCTTGCCTCTCACCCGGATTTCCAAATCCCGGCTCCAATAGGGTCTATCCTGAGCAGTTGCTTACTGTCACGCCCCTGTCATTCTGTGGACCCAGCCTATGGCTCCTGGCATTTTCTGCTTCTTCACATAGCACTTATGACCTTCTGCCTTACTCGGAGCAGCATGTGCTGAAGTTAATGCTTCAGTCCCTTCAAGCACACCAAGAGGAGGCTGATCTCGGCTAGACGGTGGTCATGTGAACAGGCACACCTATAAAGTGTGCAAACACAATATATTTCAGCTACAATTAGCTAAAACTACTACCTTTCTCAATCCACACTTTCCTTTTTCATGCTCTCCCTTGCACCTAATTGTTTCAGAGTTGCTATGTTATTTCTGAGGTAGGGCTCAGCAAAAATTGCTTGGGGTATGTTAGTCACATTTCCATCACTATCATCAAATGCCAGAGATAAGCAACCTAAACAGAAAATGGCTCCTCTGCCTCACAGTATTGGGAGTTCCAATCCATGTTGATTAGCTCCAAGGTTTTGACCCTGTGGCAAGGCAGCATAACAGAGCGTGTCTGTAGAATGTGGAGCAAAAATGTCTGCAGAGTCTGGAGTCCCACTGTTCATTCAAGGGTGAAGTAATAGCAACCTAGGACCTAACAGCCCTGCTCTGAAAGGCTTCAAGACCTCTCCATAGCAGTATCCTGGGGACAAAGCTTTTACCACACAAGCCTTTGTTGGACACAAGATCCAAACTATAGCATGGAGGCATATTGAATTTGGACATAGTGGTCACATCTCTGTATAGTCCAGTTGTCCTAGCCGATTTGATGTGGAAAGATCGCTACTGACCAATGGTCAGAAAGGGTTCTATTTCCTGTGTAATAGAGCGACAGACACGCCCGGCTGACGGGAGATAAGCATACTGTGAAATTACCAGAGCCATTGAACTGCTGGGCAATTCTTCTACACGTTGTAGTTTATAGTTTAAAGAAACCCGATGAAAGTTTCTGTCAAGTTCAAACTCAACCCTCAGAACCTTTATGAACTAACCAAACAGTTACAATGCTGAGAGAAACCATTCTATTAAAAAAGACAGCTTTACTCAGTCATGTGACAGCAAGGAAGAGATCATCTTTCTTCCTGGCCTGAATTTAGTGAGGGGATTGTGGCTGGGCCAAGGGCTCTGTGTTTCTTTTAATAAAAAATGTCAAAGAACAACCGTGCAAAGACAGGTTCAGAGAATGGGACTCAGAGAATGGTTAATCATTCAAGAATATTTGCAACATTATTTAATGTTTATCATGGTTCTTTCTGTATGAGCTTTGAAAAGTATGCAAATTGTGATGTCTTGTTCTTCTAAATGAATATTTCATACTGTGCTTCTTTTTAATTTTTTATTCTTCTTGCTGAATGAAGCAACTCACATAATCGTCAGGCCTCTTCCCTCTAGCTGTTCCTTCATACGCCAATAGAATTCTTACTTAATGTGTGGATGGCTTGTTGTCTGTCCTTCCATCTTACCCAGCAGACAACATTTATTTCCAAAACAGAAATCTTACACCGTGTTAGTATAATTTAACTTCCTGACCAGTACTTGGCACATAGTACTCAGTAATATTTTTGGAATGAATGCCTACATCCACGACACAACAGGGAACCGTTAGTGTCAGTTTAATAGTTAATACCGGCATGAAGGAGAACGAAAATACCATGCCACGTAGAACACTTTTGAAATCTCCAGGCTTTGTATGACTAGGGACATAGATAGAAATTTCTATTTGACGGTCTTCTTTTGTTATTGTTTGTCAAGAGGCTCTGGGTTATTATTTTCTCGCGTCTGTTACCTTGAGTGCCAAGGCTAGCCATGGCTGCTCTGGGCATCGTTCTGCTCCACGGAGAGAATTTCGTTGTGGAGCTATAGGAAGTGAAGCCATGCCAAGCTCCTCTGGGAAGCCATGGCAGTAGCCAGTTTTTCTTAAAACAGCAATAAAGCCATAGGGAAACAAGCTTTTCTTTGCCCACATCTCCTCAGTGGTAGAAACATGTGACCTAGAGAGCCGTCTGTGTCTAAAAACTGCACATTAGAGGTGGGAGTACTTGTTACATGAAGAAGAGGCAACGGGCATCTCGAGACTGGCAGTGAGAGTAGGCATAGTTCTGTGAACTTCAAAACCAAAGGCATGTCCTTCCTAAAGAAGAACCTCAAAGAGTATTGCTGGAGAGCGATTGCTTAACTGCGACAGCACCTGTTTTCTTAAGCCCCTGGAGAGTTTGGGGAGCTAGAAGCAGTGTTTCTGCTTTGAGTGCACTGTTTTGTTTTGTTTTTTTTCTTTCTGGTTTTGTTTTTTTCCGGTTGGGCTCTTATTCCCGGACAGAGCACCGGAAGTCTCATTATCTGTGGTGAACAAAGCAGCCAGCTAAGGCCAGAGCTAGGTGCGGAAACTAGAGTGGCCACCTTTCTCGTCAACGCCTGTTGTTTAAGACTTTCATTTCAGATTACAGCCCTGAAGGGGTGGTTGGAACAGCAAGATGCTCTTCCCACCCCTGCCCACCCCCCATATTTGCTTATTTAGAGAAAATGCTTACTGAAAATTCTATTGTTCCCTCCCCCCTTCTCTCTCTTTTTCTTTTCTATCAGGAAAAGACACTTCAGGTAGTCAAGCCCCAGTGCTGCCAAGCAGAGGCCACAGACTGTGCACTGGATCACTGTGCTCTGTAGGAGCACGGAGTGGGATCATCCCTAATGTTCTTACAGGATTCAATTCCCTTTCCCCCAATAGGCTGCAAAAATGCTATTGAAACACATTGTTTCCCAAGCGGCATTAAAACTTACCAAATAAAGTATGAACTGTCTCAAAATAACAAAAGACATTTTTCTTTGTTTCTCAGAAAGTTATTTTCCTGAATTATCTTCTCTGGAAATGGCACCAGAACTACATAAAACAGTCCCACCCTAAAATGTGATGGGCATATCAGAAAAGAACTTTTGAGGGAAAAGAAAACCTAAACTAAACTAAAAAGCAAGGGTTTAAATTATTCATTAGGCCTCCCTCTGGCCCTAGTCTATTCTTGCCTAGTGAATGGAGCCCCTGCGTGGATCCTCGGTGTGGGCAGGGGGAGTGCTCACTTTAGTGGGGCCGTCCTGTCAGGACTGGTTTATTCGGATCCTTTTGACCAGAACATTTGCCGCTCTCATTTCTTCCTTTTTTTCCCAGCGACTGTTGCATAATGCAATATTTTATCTCTGTTTTCAGCAACTTATTGAGCTTGTGCAGTTAAAATGGCTGACCTTCACCATCCTGTTATGTAATAAACCTGCCAGGCTGAATTTTCTCGAGTGAGTCAAAGGACGAAGACAACACTGATACCTTTCAAATAAGAACTAAACACCCTCCGTGCAATTTGTGGCTTTGTATTCTCCCAAGAAGGATGAAATGAGCTAGCTGACTGGTTGCTGGCTGAGTATTTGCTATGTTTGCTCCTTTCAGCATCCGCTGTGACCAGCGATCTTCCTTCAGGCTCCAAGCTTTCTTTTATTTTAAAGGTGGTAGAATGTGAGTCAGGTGAGACCCGAGACCAAAGTGAGAGACAGAGGCCTTCCTTTCTTATCTTAGTACTCTCAATTTTCCACCCGATGGCTGGCACATGTTTCGATAGTTGGTCTTTTGCCTTGCACACGCCCTTTTACATATGTCTGCATGTGTTTATTCCTGCTTTTCCACGTATTCACTTTCCTGGTATCTGAAAACGGTAAAGCCACTGGAGAGATCTCTGTTTACATCAGTAGAAAAGATCTAAAGTCTGACAGTCCAACTCAAGGTGATGAGATAATGCAAGGAGTGAGTAATTGTTTGTGAATGTAAGCATCCCCATGTAACTTAGAGTTAGAGTAAGCATCTTAGGGCAGTTTATAAAATATCAGTCATTTGTTGGTTTACAAAGAGAGGTACAGTTGAATGTTGACTCCTGAACTTAACCTAGTTATATCCCAACTACCAGCATGTTTGCATTTGAAAATATTTTTATACTGGGCTCTGGTTTAGATACAGCAAAACCTTTTGTCTATTTTAGTTAGTTTTTATACTTTAAAAAGAAATGCCATAACATTTAGTGGAGGGTATACTCTGGGCATAGGATTTCTGGCTATGCACCCTGGGTGACTAAGATACAGCCTTGGTCTTCCACCATGCTCATTGTGAGCAAATCCCACAAATTTATCTCGGGCACTGTTACCTTTGCCTATTTTCCAGACAATTGGGATGTTTTTCAGGCAGAACCAACATGTTCAGGGTCTTTATTTTGAGCTTTTGTCTTGCATAAAAGGACATGGAACACCCCGTTGTTTACAAATTGGGGTTATGCGCCCGAGTGCACACCAGTGTCTTGGACTCTGTTGCCTCGTCTTTGTTCGGAAGCTCACTCTCTTCTCCTCTTCAGTACAGCACCCTCAGACTTATGTCTCCCTGGAAGTATCCCTTACCTGGCTTGTAGAGCCAAACACTAAAGCTGCATCTTAGTTGGGCGACACTCACTGGGCTATTGACTGTTAACCCAGAGGAGATAGGAATTTTTTATTTTAATTCATTAGAGAAAGATCCAAAACCTTAGCTGGGTTCCTTTCATTATCATGCTCATCACTATAGAAATCACCATGGCATCACAGTCCTTCTAGAATCTTCTACCTGTCTCCCAACCATTTGCATTAGAGTATATGACATTTTAGTAAAAGCTGAAACTGGAGGAGCCTTCTACAGGATGCTGTTATTCCTTGGAAACGTCATATACTGACTAATGTTTCACGGAAACTGTGCTTTAATTTTCAAGTAAATGTGGGTGGGATTTGAGGAACTTTAATTGGGTGGCATCACAAAACTCCACAGAGCTCATCTGAAGCAGCCCGTTCCCTTGTGGGCACACTCACCTCAATCTCCACCCGAGAGGTTGTTTCACGCTCTTTTCAGATCTCCCAGCAAATTCTTATCCTGTAAAGGCCCAGTGATGATAGCTTTAAAGATAAATGGATAAAGATTATCACAATTTTTGGCTTCCACAGCCCGGCCCTAGCCAATGACCTACAGATGAAAGGTACAAAGGCCCTTATCTCCCGTAGGCTGTTGGATGCTCATCCCTGAACTCACAAAGTGCAGTCTGTCACCAAGTTGGGGAAATGGAGATTGCAATTCAACTCCTGTGAAAATGAATTTGGTTATATGTTTGGGAGCCCAGAGCCCATCCCCTCCTCACACCACCAGCCTTCATGTGCCCTCCTGCCCAAGTTCAGGCCTTATATCTTTTATGTCTTTCTCCTATACAAAAAAAGTGCTGTCTCTAAAATAAAATCCTTGTGATTTAAAAATAAATGACCAGCATTACGTTTCCTAAAATCACAGCAGAGCAACAAAACTAAACGTGGGGTTTGAGAACACAGGGAGCTAAGTGTAGGCTTTGGAAATACAATACATTTTTGTTTGCACTTCCCTGGGGAAAGCAGAGCAATGCAGGTTTTCACTACCTCCTTCACCTCCTAAGCAACTAAAGAGAAGGGCTGTCGTCGTTCTAATGCATAGAATTTGGTTCTGTTGATTAAGAACTCTTAACTTTAGTGAAGCAAAAGGAACTATTTCGTCGTTCCCAGCTCTTTGATGCTCAAATTAAAAGTCTGTCTAATACAGGACTGATTGACGTCCATTAGGGTCGTGCTGAGTTCTGAGGCATTCTGTCAGTGGAGCTGTTGACCAAAAGGAGTATTTCACTTAGTCAAGGATTCACAGCCAGTGAGGTGGGACACCCAGTCTGTTTATGGGGACTGAACCTTTTCTCTGGTTCTCTGGAGCCTCAGCACTGAGTGCTCTTCAATGTGCCTTCAGTAGAAAGTAATAGAAAGAAAATGAAGACGCTACACCCCTGCAGGGACCACCGAGCGGTAAGAGACCGCACAAGAGAAGCACAAGAGCTGGCAAGGAGGAGAAGAAAGGGAGCTCCATGACAGAAGGCTGGGGGAGGGGCGGAGTGTGTGAGGGGCAAGCTGGGAAGAGCAGGGGCAGGAAGCTGAAACAAAGGTATCAGACGATGACCAAGGACGCCTTCTTAAAGTGCCTCCTGTGCCACCGTTCCCTGGACTGACTTTACCTCTGAAATGTGTCTTAAATACGAGCCCTCTCCATAACTTAGTCTCTGACCGCAAGACATAGCATTGACAGCGTTATTATTTCAAACGGGGACATCACTTCATACTGTCACTCCAGTTATGTCTCACAACTCGGGGACCTCAGTTCCTGGAGTCGTTCCCAAGGTTTGCAGGGCTTGCAACTAAAGCACTTGCGGAAGAGTTCTGAAAACGCCCGCAAAGACTGAGAGGCGTGTTGATTTTTGCAGTCCTGGAAGTAGGGGATTCTTCTACCACCCAGTTACCCGCAGCTCGGCGGGGATAGGGAGAAAGCGTGTTGTAACAGTAAAACTTGAATCTGGTCTGGGAGGGCCTAACAAACCATGTAGCGCAGACAAGACAAGCGTAGCTCTCATCAAAGAGGATTGTTACCGGGTGTGGAAACTAAATGCTCTTTCTGTGAGACTGTCACATCTGCTTTCAGGCGCTGTGCCAAGGGGTCAGGGCTCAATCACAAGCCTGTGGCACCCCCTGCTGGTTAAAAGCCCATGCTCATTTTGTTACTTTACACTGAACTAAACATTGCCGTGATTTCACACTTCTTTTAACATTCTATATGAATTTAATTATCGTTTGTTTGGACCAGAGCAGAAATGGTTTGTTACAGATGTTCACATAGCCATGTCTCCCTCTGCATCCCCTTCACCTGCCCTGCATCAGTTACTTCTCAGACTCCATCAACCGCTTCGAGGTTCCTCCATCAATTCCCAAGGCCTTCACTTGTCCTCAGCCCGGATTTTTGATGAGCATGGTCAACAGATTAAGAGTCCACTGCTGCTGAAGAGCGGGTCAAAAAAATTGGTTTTCTTATGGGAAAACATGCAGGTAGGAGCAAGGTGTTTATTCTATGTGTCTCCAGTCTTTCTGCAGTGAGCTAATTTAGCAGGAGAATTGAGAAGTCAAGTAAGACCCTTTAGGGATTCAGAAAGAAAAAAACAAAAACGTATTTTGGAATTCCAATAAAATTTAAGGAACGTGTTTTTTTTTTTTGTTTTGTTTTGTTTTTTTTTTTTTTTTTTGTTA